GTTTTTGTCATTTTGGTGATGTCCACAGGTGGTGGTTGTGTTTCTATGGGCTGTTTTTCTCGTGTTCGTTAGTTAGATTTTGTTCGCATTGTGCTCTTGTTTGATTTTTAGGTAGAATTTTTATGTGAAGTGGTTTTTTTTGTTTTATTGTAAGTCAATTTTGGTGGGCATTCTAATTAATTGGTTTGATGAATTCGAATATGTTTTGGAGAAAAGGTGTATATATATATAAATATATATATATATTATGAATTGCAAATGTAGTTAAAAAATTCCCAAGAAAATTGTGCTGTATTCCTGGTTAATGAAATTATATAGCTGGTGTGATCTTTGGTTTGCAGTTGGTGAGAAAAGTGAAAGAGAAGCTCAACAAAGAGCATCACAATCTCCCAGTGGGCAAAAATGGAAGAGATGACGAAGAATTGATCTTTTGGTTTCTGAAAGACCGAAAGTTTTCAGTTGAAGATACCGTCTTCAAGTTGACGAAAGCAATTGTAAATATAATTCTCAGCTTCTAATCATTCTACTACCGAAAACTCTAATTTTTCTCTTTTTTCTATTTTTTCTTTGGGCTCTCCTGATTTATTTGGAGCTTAAACCTATTGTTTCTTGTGTTTTTTTTTAAAAAAAAATGTAATGAAAAAATGAAATAACAATGTAACTTAAACACCCAGCTGTTGCATAGTCAGTGAATTACATTGCTTCAGTTATAATATCTTAAACATTGACTGATTGCACCCTGAATTATCTTTTTATCTAATTCTAAACAGGGCTGGCGTCACGAGTTTGGAGTATCGGAATTGTCTGAGGAATCTGTTGGCAATGTAGCGAAAACTGGAAAAGCTTACATACATGACTGTCTTGATGTATACGGCCGATCAGTGCTGATAGTGGATGCATCAAAGCATTTTCCAGGGGTAGATCTAAGATACTAGTAACTTCACTTTCATTGCTATATATATACTTCCTGCATTACCTGAAGTTATTTGCTTAAGAGTAGAACAACTGCCTGTTCTTGCTTACTTTGTGATCTGGGTTCTGGATGTACCCTTTTATTGTTTTTTTTTGTTTTAGCTTGATGATGTTCTGAAAAGATCGATTTTATCTTTCGGTAAAGAGTTGTTTGTCCTTTGATGTTTAGAAAATAAATCAAATCAGTTGTCTGCTCATGTTGAAATTAAGTTGATTAATTAAATTATTAATGTTCAACAAACTATTTAAATCATTGACAGTAGTTATGAATGGAACATTAGTTGTATTGGAAAATGTAGAATAATAATGATATTATGTGTATAGGAAAACATAACGTACTTATTGTCCTAGAAAATAAAATGTAGGATATCCTAGAAACTTGTAGAGTATTTTACATAGATGAAAAATAAGAGAGTGAAAATACCAGTTTATAGTTATGATGTATCACTGTTGTTTCTGTTGGATTAAGTACATTGTTAGAAATTGAAGCAAAGTGACTATTTCTAATCTTTATATCCTGGGGAAGTTTTTAAATGACATAATCGTAGCTTAATTTATCATATTGTGATTTTTGTGGCACGAACTGCCAGGAGTGATGCAGCCTAGGCCAGACCATAAAATGTTCACTTTCTCCATTTTCTTTATGATTTGTGCAATTTATTAACTTTATTAGAGGATCACCAGAACCTACAACTAGTTCTAAAATTTTAGCACATGTTCAGTTTTATGTCTAATGTTTGATTATACACCATCAATGCAGGAGCATGGACTGGACGAAGATCAGAAGCTTTGTGCATTTATGATCGAGAAGGCGCTGGAGAAACTTCCTACTGGGAAGGAAGAAATACTGGTTATTATTGATCTTCGAGGGTTTCGAACACAAAATGCTGATATGAGATTCTTAACATTTGTGGTAAATTCATACATACCGTGCACATTAAGTATGTAAATGTTTTCAATCTTTTTACTCTGCATCGCTTCATTGATGGTTCTTCTTCATTTCACGGAGGTAATGGACTGAGGAGGAGTCATCTTTTTAATCGTTATTGGTTATTAAACTATGAAATATTCATCGAACCTGTGGCCTTCTTAACAACATGGTTCTTTTCTAAGTTCTGATCGTGCCAATTAATTTTTCTACTTATTTTTCTCCCAAAAATTGTTAGTGATATGAAATGCTGCTGGGATTTTAATCTTCTTATTTCATTTACAATCCCCTGGCTTATGAAATGCTTCCGGCATGACCAATTTTGATTTCGTGTGTTTTGCTTGTGTGCAGTTCGATGCATTCTACTACTACTATCCGAGTAGATTGGGTCAAGTACTTTTCGTGGATGCTCCTTTCATCTTCAAGCCATTTTGGCAGCTGGCTAAGCCATTGATGAAATCATATGCATCTTTGGTGAGCACTTCTTTGATGCCCTTACATGTTTGTTTTTCCTTAAACATCTTGTATTTGTTCTTTGCTAATTATTCGAACCGAACATTCCTTCTTCATCTGCACTTTTCACTAATCGATTTACCTCAGGTGCGATTTTGCCCGGCCAAGACTGTTAAAGAGGAGTACTTCACCGTAGATACTGTTCCGACCAATTTCAGGGAATGAAGTGAACGATAAGAGGCTGCTGGCACAATTCGTGGAGTGTGACCGTTTATAGAGTGAAGTTATTCAACTTCAATGATCAATTAAAGATGGATGCTATATTTATTGAACGATGAGATTTTGACTGTTTAGTTGATGTTTAAAATTAATTCGAAATTGAGTCAGATTTATTTTTATTTTTTTAATTAGAATTTTGATTTAATATTTTATAAATATATTTTTATTGAAACTAGATGTAGAAGCCATGGATGATAAATATGTATATATATATTATGATTCAGAGGCAATTAGGCTTTGTTCTTTTTTCAACAAAATTTTCTGACATATTTTTCAAAAGAAATTAATATACTGTACACTTAGACGATTTTTTATAGTTCATGTAAAAAATATTCTTTTAAATTCAATAGGGTACTTCATATAAAAAATATTCTTTTAAATTCGAAAGGATTGTCTGGTAGTATGATGGTAGATTTCTGACCAAGAGACTATGGGTTCAAATTTCAACATCTCCAGATCATCTACCACACTTTGCCTAGTGTCGAATTACCGTAATTTATTAATTGATAGGACATATTAACACACAATTTACCATAATTCGTACATAAGTGAATTATTTGTGTGCCAACCCACTGCGGGGTGGCCGAGTGGGCTAATATTTTGGCAACTCAACCTACAGGCAGATGGTGAGTTTTAAGGGTGTGTTTGTTTGGGGTTTGGATTTTGAGTTGGGATTTGAATAGTAAATATTTTGAATTTGAATAGTTGTAATATAAATAGGTGTTGATGTAATGTTTTGAATGTAAAATTGATTTTTAGTATAATATAAAAAATTAAAAAATATGTGTTTGATTTGATGTTTTTGAAAAAAAAAAATGAGATAAATAGTGAAAATCTAATTCAATCCTCCAAACAAACACACCCTTAATATTAAAATATATATGTATATACTTTTTCATGTAATTTTTTTTTAATATTAGTATTTTATATGTATATAATACAAAAGATGTATGAATAGTCAAATTTATCTATAAAAAAAAATAAATTAGTTAAACAATGATAATGATATTTTTATAATAATATGTAAATTATAAGAATTGTTTAAGGTTTTGTAATAAGCATAATTACTAAAAATAATAATAATAATAATTTATTTTATTTTCGCAAGCCAAAATAACAAAATAAATATATTTATTTTAGATTTAAATATTATTAAAGATATAATATAAACAATAATTATATTTATTTAACTCACGGCCTAATCCCCGTTACGAGCTAGCCCAATTACTTCCGCAGTGTGCGTGGATTGATCCATTTAGATCGTATTTTACTCTTTTTAAAAGTAGGGTTGGACGGACCAACCCGACAGACTCAATCCATTTTAATAGTTCTAAATATAACACATTGACATACAATAATGTTTGATAAATTGCAGCTGCAACACAAAACTATATTTATTGTATATATTTGTTTTTACACTTATTTATCATTTTACATTTATTTATTAACACTTATACCTAAAAGTAAGAATAATTTAGTCTTTACACTATTATATTTATCCACTATTATTAAAATAATATTATTATTTAATCTGCGGTACAAAAAATAAATATAAATTTTAGAGGTGAAGAGAAGAATTATAATTTTTAATGAAAAATTAAATATCGGAATAAAATTTGGACTATTACGTAAAATGTTCTAAAAAAATTAATTACATACCATTTGTATCATTAATTTGAAATGTATATACTCATTTATGCTTTAGACATATTTTATACAATATGCTTTTGGATATTTTATATTACACTATAAAATATATTATTTACCTCCATTCGTTAAATTTATCTCATATTAATTTTGGCAAAATCAACGAATCAAATATTTAATTATTACATTTTATTCAATATTTATTTACAACAAATATCATTAATTTTATTACATTATATCTCTTTTATTTACTTTATTTTTTAACTAAATTTTTAAAAATACTTTCAACTACCTTTCATTTTTTTATTAAAATATTTATTTTTCTTAATTTAAGTGTCGAGTCCAAATAAACTAATTTTTAATGGACTGATGAAGTAATTGTTATCAAAACTATTATATCGTTATAATATGTAAAATTAATGTAGAAATATTGATATAAAAATATAAATACTAGACGTATTAAAAATGAATTGAATAACTTTATTTTAACAATAAAAATAATAAAATATATAGTAGAGTGAGCAAATATTAAATTTTTAAGAATACTAAAAATGAAATTAAAGATTGATTTTTTTAATAAAAACATAAAAATAATATATAAATTTGAACAAAATAAAATGATATATTTTATTTAAAAAAATATATAAAAAGATTACAAAAAAAACATTACACCTAAATAGGTTTTATTAAAATATTACCTAAAATTTAATTTATTATCAAACCCAACCCTATTTCTACATCTCCATAGCAATTGTCTTCCTATTCATCGTCGTTCCCGTGATTTCTTAGCTTGCTGGGTCTACAGTGGAAATCTACAGAAAAGAAGAAAAGAATTGTAAGTATTGGTTTTCTACTTCATTTCTATTCAATGGGAACCTAAGTATAATGCGGTGTCTTAAACTTGTATTAGTGTTGGAATTTGATAGAATGGCTTAAATTTATACAGAGCTTCGATAATTTGACGAACATGTATTTATATTCAGCATTTTGAATTATGTCTTCTATGTAAAATATGGAAATAGGTATGCCAAGTCTACCAAAGTTAACATTATCAATCTATTTTATTGCTTCTTTGCGTCCGAGAATTTCAAGTATAATTTGGTCTTGCATCTTACCCGTTGCTTTTAAGTGATCTCTAGACTAGGGTTTGTTTAGTTTTCATAGATTTGCAAGTTGGATTTGGAGTTTTGAATAGTAAAATTTTTAATTGGAATAATTGTTTGATGTTGTATGAATAGAATTTAATGCGATGGTTTTAATATAAAATTGATTTTTTTAGTATAATATACAAAAATGATAAGTATGTATTTGATTTGATTTTACAAACACAACCGAAACTGGAACTTCAGTTGATTTTATAATATTCTTCTGTAGTCTTTCTTTTAGTAGAAATAATTATGTTGAAAAGATTTCCTCTTGTTCTAACTTTTTAGGTCACCTCAAAGTTGTTTTTGATGACATTGGCAAGCCCATTGACCAATGAATTCAAGTATGATGGTTGGAGAGCTAAGGTACTTTATGTCCTTATTTGGTTTCTGTTTTGCTAATTTATTGGAAGAAAGTCATTATGAATTTTTTTAATCTGGATTGCTAATGAATAGTTACTATTGGAGACTCTTGATGTAGCGTTTATAGATTGAATTTTGGAGTTTATTACTTTACCCGATGCGAGAATTTAATTGTTTAACAAATAATGGTAAATTCAGTGATTTGCTCTGTTCCAGTCTAATTCCTCTGTTCATAAATTTTCATTCATTGCAACATTTAGATGTTTTTCATTTTTTTTTTAATTTAAATAACTCTGTATTGTTACGTGACTATAACTATAATTACTTAATTCTACTTGAAAATGTTATATCGAAATGCAAGTGTTTTTAGAAAATTGAAATCGGACCCAAAATCTCTCCTGATGTGCAGGTATGATGTTTTCCTGTGTTTAAAATTCAGTCAACTTATTTATATTTTAGCAGTTTATCCTTTGATGAATGTAGCTTTTGGAATTTTATGAATTTCAAATGTGCATTTTAGTGTTATGTTAGAATGTTGTATCTTCTCTAGTTCACTACATTTGTTTCTTGATTTTGGTGGTTGTGATTTTTTTGTGAAATCTTTAGTAACTTTTTTATTCATCCAGTTGTCATCTGTACCAATTGTAAGTGCTAGAAGACCCTTCCGTCTGAAAGTATATAGCTCAAAAATGAGTATATCAATTACACGTCCTGACGATTGGCACCTTCATCTTCGTGATGGTGAACTTCTTGAAGCAGTGGTTCCTCACAGGTTGATAATTTCGAAGGGTATTTCTAGCATTATTGTTTTTGTTAAAGTTTTATCACGACATCAACTTTAATGATCTTTTTTCAACTTTATATATAATGATTTGTCCCTAATCTGTACAAGGATCATTTCAATTACAGTGCAAAGCACTTTGGAAGAGCTATAATCATGCCAAACTTGAAACCTCCAATCACTAACACTGCTGCTGCATTGGCCTATCGCCGCTTAATTTTAGAAGCCCTTCCTGAAAATAGTGACTTCACTCCTTTGATGACTCTTTATTTAACAGACACTACAGACCCAAACGAGATCAACCTGGCAAGTAAGTCCAATTTGATATAATGGGCTCATGTGATTATTAGAGTATCAGTGTTTTCTTTACTTGTCTTCCTGATGGAATTAAGGCATGTGGTAACTATATTATCATATGTTCTTTCATCTCATGTACTCTGTTAAATACTAACTCGAAGAAAAAAAAGAGCAGAAACAGATTTGTTCTTGCTTTGGCAAATAGAAAAATGGGTCCCCAACAATAATTCAAATCACTTCATTTTGTTCATCTGTAAGAGAATGTATGTTGTTTGTTGAGGGAATTTAAATCTTGTCCCCTTGAATGTTACTTTAATTTGAGTTATATGAATATGCCGAAGTAATATTTTTCCGGAAACATCACAATGTTGGCTGCTAGTTTGTTTGGTTTTGATTTGAGTTTGAGTTTTTTATTTGATATGGTATTTTATGAGAGAAAAATAATGTATTTTTAACAAAGCCCGTGCAAATAATGGTGATTTTGATTTTCAATCAAAACCAAGCACACGCTACAGTCTTGTGAAAATAACTTTTCTCTTACCTACACCCATAATAACGCCTAAGAGGAAAGCTAGTAGATCTAGGCAATTTGTATGCCCTTGTTATTATTGTCCTTCCTTTCCTCTCTTTGTTCTGAGATAGAATGATTTTGTATTCCCGGCAAGACTGCCAACCCCTTATTAACCTTAAAGGCTGTGCCCCTTTGTACTAGTAGCTAATGCATTAACTTCTGAAAGAATTTTTTCAAATTGTGCCACTTTTGAGTCTTTATCTCCTGTTGCTATTTTTATTTTTATATTCTTCTACACTGTCCAATCTTTGTGTATTATTCTAGAAATGAAAGCAGAAAAAACAGTTGAATCAAAACATTTGCATTAAAAGATTTATTATTATTGTTATTTAATTTATAACTACTTAGCTCCACACTTACCTGCACACAATAGCAGTTTCAAACACCTCAAAGGACCAGCAAAACAAAGCCAATTTACTCTGGTAATTGCACTACTATTAATTGCATAGACATTCAATGACAAGGCGCATGATTAATTGGTGCTCATTTTTTCGTTTCCTGTTTAACAAGCTAACATATATATATATGTATGTTTAGCTTATGCATGTTCTTTATCTCATGCATGATAAAGTGAACTTGTGTCCTGCTGGTGCTATTACAGGAGAGAGCGGAGTTGTATTTGCTGTGAAATTGTATCCTGCTGGTGCTACCACTAATTCTCAAGATGGTGTAACAGATCTTTTTGGAAAGTGCTTACCTGTACTTGAGGAAATGGTTCAGCATAACATGCCGCTGTTGGTAAGCTTATTTCTGGTGATATGTGAGAATTGTGCTCAAGTTGACACTTGTTAGACCATCTTATTTTCTATACTTCCAAGAAATCTATTTACTATGCAATATTTATTTAGTATGCATAGGTGTCTGTTCTAATTCATTGGATTGCATATTGATGTAATTGGTTGTTGGAATTTGATTGTCTTTGATGAGCTAATGCTCTACTAGATCTAAGATAGCTTATTTTTTTGAGAATCAAAATTTATAGCAAGGTTCTATTTTAGAGGGGCTTTTGATGTCTTAAGCTTAAGTAAGATGTTCCTAAGAAGTGCAGTACCGAAAACCCGAACAGGCTAGGAAAGTAAGAATTCATTTTTTCCCCTTTGGATGTTAGAAAGTACAAATCATGAAATGTTTATGTTTTTTTGTCATACAGAATCTCTTATCCCATCTTGTTAATTAATATAAACATGGTTATGTTAACTAATATGTTATTTTGTTAGGCTTCTCTTTCCCCACTGCCAAAGTTATGCTAATTGATATCGCTCTAGGTCCATGGAGAGGTAACTAGTCCCGAGGTTGATGTGTTTGATCGTGAAAAGGTGTTCATTGAAACAATTCTTAGTCCTTTAATTCAAAGGCTCCCGACATTGAAAGTTGTCATGGAGCACATTACCACTTTAGATGCTGTAAATTTTGTTGAGTCGTGCAAGGAAGGTATTCTATCACCCTTTCATGCTATATAAACATTTGGCTGTTTTATATAAATATAATGGATCTTCATTTTGTCGTTATTTAATTTTGATCATATGCAGGATTAGTTGCAGCAACTGTCACGCCACAGCATCTCATTCTTAACCGGAATTCTCTGTTTCAAGGAGGATTGCAACCTCACAATTACTGTCTTCCCGTACTTAAGAGAGAGATACACAGTAAGGTTTCTAATCCTCAATGGGGATTTAGCTGATTAATCATTCCTTTTTATCGCTGATGACCATCTATTCATTATTGTTATCTTATTTATGTTGACAGTTGACACTAACATAAATAAAAATACACTCTTTCCTTGTCGACACATCAACAAACAATGTCTCATTTATCAATTGAAAGCTTACTATTGCCCCTAGGTTGTGGAAATGTCTATTTTCCAATATTCGAACCTGTTGGTATTGTAGCAATTCAGTTCAAGTTTATTTGTGTCAAGATTTCAATTTAGTTTTCTAGTGTAGCATTGTATGGACCGGACCATGTATATATAGTCTCAAATTTATTCAATATCGAAAAAATACATTTTTATTTCCAACATTGGTATGGTGCTCTAGAATTGAATTTTCCCCAATTATCTTCTTTAGTTCTAAACTAAGGTTATGTAGGTTACTATTTTCCACATCCCTGCTTCGTTCAGTATACTTTGTGCAGCCAGAAAAACACATTTTTTGTGAATTTTCATATGTTCTTGGGCATTGCAGGACAGGCAATTGTGTCGGCTGTCACAAGCGGAAGTAAAAGATTTTTCTTGGGAACCGACAGTGCTCCACATGAGAGAAGAAAAAAGGAGTGTCCTTGTGGATGCGCTGGAATCTACAATTCTCCAGTCGCTTTGTCTGTCTACGCCAAAGTGTTCGAAGAGGTAAATTTTAAGACATTCCATGCTTGTAAAGACTAATTTTCATGTTACTCCAATTCATTCCTTGTTATTGTCTGGCGCAATGGTCATTACAGAGGATGTGTATAATATATGTAAGCATATTGATCGTCACAGGTTGGTGCACTTGACAAGTTGGAGGCATTTACGAGCTTCAACGGACCGGATTTCTATGGACTTGCAAGGAACACAACGAAGATCAAATTGGACAAGGCGCCGTGGAAGGTGCCAACGTCATTTACATTTCCCTTTGGAGATATTGTTCCAATGTTCGCCGGTGAAACACTTGACTGGCTGCCGTCTTCCATCTAAAAAGGCTAGTTTTCGACATCTTTCCTGCCTTTTTGGGATTTTTTTGGACTTCAGTTTTGCCGAAATAAAACATACATAAAGGAAGTTTAGTTTGATAAATCCTGATGGCTTTAGAGATATCTGTGTTGTTCAAATGGTATATTGCTTTATTTGACGAAGGAGCGGACAACAATTATTAATTTCTTTTATAAAATGATCGTTCAATGTAAATATCTTATATGAAAAATTAGTGCTTATTTGGTCTGATTTAAATATTATCCGTTCCACATAAATTGTTCACATTTTCTATTTTCGTTAGTTTCACATAATTTGTCATATTTTTTTTTTAATTTCTATAATTAGTTTGACTATACAATAATTATTTTTTAGTAATATATTTTTAATTATTTACTAATTATATTTCATTTAAATTTTTGTATTTATAGTAATCAGACAATTTATTTGAGAGACGGAAGAGAGTAAGTATATTTTGATACGCACTATTTTTAAATCTATTTTTAAAAGATTAAAAATAGTGCACTGCACTCTTAGATGAATTGAAATATAATGTTAGAAATCATAACTAAATAAAAATTGAAGGGATACATATATATATTTATTTTATGTGAAATAGTTTGTTTGTATTGTGAAATAGTTCGAAGAAATATATTTTTATTTAAAATATAAATAATTGTGTAAATAATATAAAAATAATGAATGTATATAATATATTAATTTTTTAAAAAAATATGTGGTTGTTTTATTCATATATATATATACTTTTAGATACGTAATAAAATATTATATAAAATATAATAATATGTTGGTTGAGATATGTAAAATGTTTTAAAAATTTTGGGTTTTTTTTTTTTTGTGTTGATTTAAAGAATTGACGTGGGGTATAAGGAATTGTGTCATAATATAATAATTTTTGTGAGATGATAAAATATATATTTAGAATTGTAAGAAAAAAAATTGAAAGCAAGCAAACCCTTTATTACATACAATTTGTATAATTAATTTGAAATGTATGTACTCTTTTGTGTTTTAGACAAATTATATGATTTAGATATTTAATACTTCTCCGTCTCACTTACAGTGTTTATCTTTTTATCTACGTCTATCTCACTTACAGTGTCTATTTTTTTTTATCTATGTCTATCTCACTGTCTATTTTTTTATTTATGTATGTCCCACTTATTTTGTCACTTTTTAAAAAAAAAATTATACACTTTAATCTTATTTTAAAATTTTTAATTTTAATTAAACTAATTACTTCTCTAAATTTTAATTTAAAATTATTTTAATTAGACACTTTAGATGAACGAAAGGGAGTAATATATTATATAAACTATAATAATACGAGATGCTACTTCTATAGATTGAAATGTAACTTTAGAAAATATAACTAAATAACAATTAAAATTCCATGACAATATAAATTTTAAAATTTATTTTTTTAGGTTGTACATTAGATAAACTTTATATATGTTTTTAGATAATTAATAATACACTATATAAAACATAATAATACATTGCTTTAAATGTTTCTGTAAGATATTCTGAAAAATTATTACATACAATCACTGTGATTAATTTGAAATGTATATACTCATTTAAATTTCTCTATATAAATTGATATAAAATTATTACTAAAATCTACAAATGATAGGGTTTGTTTGCCCAATAAATTTTTTTTTTTAACATAATTCTCAATATATGTATTTTATCTTCTCACAAAAATCAAAATTTTATCATAAAATATTATTTTTATATTAGCGATACAATTTTCTCTATCTCAAGTATTAAAAAAAAAAAATTAGCTAGAACATCGATTTCTTGATCTTGGGGAATCCCGGCGAATACCTCCCGGCCGTCGTTAATGGTAACCACCGGAGAGATGCGGTCCCTAATAGCATCAGACAACACCACTCGGTTGAGACTAATATCTGGCTAAGGAGGATCAGTATAATTTCCTTTTCTGATAATCGCAAAGGAGTTTGTTTGCAGATATTTTTTTTAACATGAGGTCCAAAATTATTTTATATTCTCAAAAAAATCAACATTCAATATAAAATATTATTTTTATATTATCAAAATAATATTTTACACCTCTCAAGTAAATATAAAAACATTAAACAAAAAAGGTCATTAAATTTGCCTTAATTAATAATTACTATAAATATTAAATTATTCGCAATTACACTTTAACTCCTATAACAAATCTCAATTATATATACTGGAATTGTATCCATCCAAATTATAATATTCGTATCAACGGAAAAGTGGTAGGGACTGCGATGGCATTCACATCAAACCGACATAACTCCGCCCTTGACGAGCAATGGAAAGTATACCACATGAAAGATTATTTTTTATCGTATATATGGTAGAGAAGATGAGTTCATTACATCCGTAGATAATGTATTCGGTAGCCTTTTGGCTATCGAATTCGATATGAATGTCCAACATTATATTGTTTTGTTTTTTTTTTTCTTTTAATATTTAGAACAATGTTTGGACATTAATTTTACATTGTTTGTTTGTTTGTTTTTTTTTTTTCCTTAATTAAAAACTGATTACGGATTAAAATTGGGAAGGTGGTGGAGTTTGCTTTATTGTTTGAAACATAAACATATTTGAAATATATATATATGATCACAATTGGCCATATAATATTCTTTTAAAATTTTCTACACTATTTTATTATTTTTTGTAAAAATATACTACATAGTTATAGTTATGTACTACAAAATATTACAAAGACTGACATTTTAATTTAAAAATCAAAACCCCACATTAGGATGTGTTTGTTTGAGTGTTGGATTTTGGGTTTAAATTTTTTAATAACAAAATTTTTAGTAATTGAAGGTTTATTTTTTTAAACAAATTTCCCCAAATTTTATTATTTGGACTCTATCTTTTTTCAAAAAGGGTGTGTTTGTTTTGGGGATTGGATTTTATATCCACTGTTCATCCCATTTTTTCTCCAAAAAATATCAAATCAAATACCTATTTTTTATTTTTTATATTATACTAAAAATCAATTTTAAATTCAAAACATCACATCAATACCTATTTATATCACATCATACAACTATTCAAATTCAAAATTTTTACTACTCAAATCCCAACTCAAAATCCAAACCCCAAACAAACACACCCAAATATATTGTTTCCTCTCACAAAACATCCCATCAAACATTATTTTAATATCAAAGTCAAACAAATTTTTCTCAAACTTAACCAAAAGAAACACACAGTGAATATTTATTTGATATTGTATATGTAAAATTAATTTTTATTATAATATAAAAATAAAAATAAAATATTTAATTTTATATTTTCAGAAACAAAATTAAATAGTAAAATATATATATTATTTTTAAAAAATAAACTTCAAAACAACGTAACCATAGAATTTTTAATATTTCTATTAAGTAATTCTTCTCAACCAAATATCAAATCAAAATTTTATTTTTTTCTTTTTTTATAATACAATTTTTTTTAATTTAAAATTTTAAAATTAATAAATTTTATATCATATTAAACAACTATTAAAATAATAAAAAAAATTACTATTAAAAATTCAAACCCATTAATCAAACACACCCATAATTAAAAACATTAATGTAAAAATAATATTTACTCGAAAAATCATAAAAATTCAAAATAAATATTTTAAGTGGTACTACCATTACTAGGGTGTGTTATTTTGTGTGTACTTTTTTTAGTTATATTTTTTTAAAAAAATAATAAAAAATATTATTTGATATGATATATTATTAAAAAAAAAAATGTTATATACTCTTTCCGTCCTGCAAAATTAGTTGTGTTTCTTTTTGGCGCAGAGTTTAAAAAAATTTATTTTATATAGTTAATTAGTGTCATTAGTTAATGTAATATATGTAATAAAATATTATTTTAACTATTTTTATTTTATGAAATATGGAAATAAAAGTTGAAATATATATTTTTTTATTTAAATTTAATGTTTTATTTTAAAAAATATTATTATATTGATTGTAAATTATGTAATTAGATAAAAAAATTAATTGTAATAATTTAAATAGAAAAATAACAGCCGTAATACTAAAATTTTAAATATAAACAAAACATCAAATTTTTTTAATTTGATTGTTGGTAGGGATAGTTCGATATTACATATCAAAATTTATAACCCATATGTTATATATCGTACCAAAATTTTTTAGTATGTTATTTTATCGTAATGAGATATTGTACCAATAATTTGGTATACCGAATTTATAGATGAAAAAATATTGAATTATAGAAATAAAACATATTGTACTAAATACCGAAAATGCCAAATTTCAGTATACCGAATTTTTTTTTGTATGGTATCGATATTTTTTTTAATATACCAAAAAAATTGGTATGGTATACAATATAGTTCGGTATTATCTTAATGCAGTATGGAGTCATTTCTAATCGAATTACATGTATGATATCAGAATATAATATTTTACGCTGAAATATAAAAATTAAAAATAATTTTACAATTTTAAGAATATATTAGAAAATTAATTATTTTAGTATCAATATACTAAATTTTTGATATAAACCGATATATCAAATACTAAAATATCAAACTGTATTAGCATTTTTGGTATATATTATACCAATGCTAAAAGTATATGCAATTGTCGTACTGAAAATGTTCGGTACGGTATCATACCATATAAAAATTTATGATATACAATAATTTTGACACTTTAGTATTTTTTTATGCATTATTTGAGCAAATTGATATTTTTCACTCTTAATAATAGTGATAAATGAATTTTTTTAATTAAATATAAAAATCAAATTCTAAATCAAATTTCATGATTAACTAATTTTCAATCGTAAAATATCAAATCAAATATTTTTTATATTATATTAAAAAATTAATTAAAAAATTTAGATATCACATAAACACTTATTTATATCATATTGAATATTTATTTATTTTTATTATTCAAAATTCTAGCCCTACTTTTAAATTTACAATAAAATAAACAATAAAAGTTAGAGGTATTAATAATTGAATAAAATATAGTTAAATTTGTAATTGTAATTAGTATTTATTTAATTATTACTATATTAAGAAATGTGACTAATTTCTGAGACAATAAAAAAAGAAAATGTGGACTAATTAGTTTTTAAAAGATAAATAAATAAAATAAATGTTGCATAGTAATTTTTAATTAAAAAATAAAAAACTTTAAATAGAGCAAACTTTTAGAACTTCCGTTCGTTCATAAA